CAATCACAAGGCCTGCTCCTGAGAACACTGGGTCCCGTGAAAGAGGAGGGCCTCACACCTCCAATCACAACACCTACTCCTGAGAACACCCGGCCACATGAAAGAGGGACCTCACACGTCCAATCACAACACCTACTCCTGAGGACTCCAGGCCACATGAAAGAGGGGGGCCTCACACCTCCAATCACAAGGCCTGCTCCTGAGAACACCCGGCCACATGAAAGAGGGACCTCACACCTCCAATCACAACACCTACTCCTGAGGACTCCAGGCCACATGAAAGAGGGGGGACTCACACCTCCAATCACAAGGCCTGCTCCTGAGAACACCCGGCCACATGAAAGAGGGACCTCACACCTCCAATCACAAGGCCTGCTCCTGAGAACACTGGGTCCCGTGAAAGAGGAGGGCCTCACACCTCCAATCACAACACCTACTCCTGAGAACACCCGGCCACATGAAAGAGGGGGGCCTCACACCTCCAATCACAACACCTACTCCTGAGAACACCCGGCCACATGAAAGAGGGGGGCCTCACACCTCCAATCACAACACCTACTCCTGAGAACACCCGGCCACATGAAAGAGGGACCTCACACGTCCAATCACAAGGCCTGCTCCTGAGAACACCCGGCCACATGAAAGAGGGGCCTCACACCTCCAATCACAACACCTACTCCTGAGAACACCCGGCCACATGAAAGAGGGACCTCACACGTCCAATCACAAGGCCTGCTCCTGAGAACACCCGGCCACATGAAAGAGGGGCCTCACACCTCCAATCACAACACCTACTCCTGAGAACACCCGGCCACATGAAAGAGGGGGGCCTCACACCTCCAATCACAACACCTACTCCTGAGAACACCCGGCCACATGAAAGAGGAGGGCCTCACACCTCCAATCACAAGGCCTGCTCCTGAGAACACTGGGTCCCGTGAAAGAGGAGGGCCTCACACCTCCAATCACAACACCTACTCCTGAGGACTCCAGGCCACATGAAGTTGGGGGGCTCACAGTTGCAGGAAATAAATAATTTGGCACAAGGATCAAGTGAAAGTAGTTTGAGAGAGTTGCTGTTAGCGCTTTAGAGAAAGGCCTCATGGCGTTCGATCATCTGAGCACATCTGAACTTTGTGGCCCTATGGCCTTGAGGCAAGGGGTGGCAGAGAGGTGTGCCTCAGTTCTTGCCCTTTAAATACGGGAGGACGTCTGTTGTTTCAACAGGTTGTTCCATTTTACAAAATACTCGTGAACTCTCCTCAACAGATGGAGCCGACTTCGGACTGGAACAAACTCCCAGAGAAATGTCTCTGCCAGGCCAGACTCAGGTGTCCCCACCCTCCTGAGGTTCTTCTCCTCCTGGGACGTGGGTGGAAGGCGCCTCAGAAGTAAACAGAGCACAGGGGAGGCCCCTACCCACTGCAGCCGGGGGCCACAGGCGGGGCCTGACAGCCTCCTGGGTGCTGCTCACAGGCAGGTCCTACACGGACAGAGGGGTCCGCTGGGGCCGAATGTGGACCTCCCGTCCCCACCGGGCTGTGAGCCGACGGCATTTCTCTGAGAAATCTGAATTTTTACAAGAACCTTTCTCCTGCGGTAAAAATCATATCTGTTCATTTTAGAAAATACAGATAAGTAAAGAAACAAAAATAAAAGCTACTCCCCAGGCAGCGGTGTCCACCCCGTGAGCATCGGGCCCTCCAGCTGTTGTTACTCTTGGCTTTTCAGCGACTCTGGGGCCGCGTGGAGCCCCGGCTGTGTGCGGGATGAAGTGACACACTCGGCCCGGCCCAAACGCCACTGGTCACTTGCGCTGAGACGCTGGATGAGTGGCCGACCTTGGTGTCCTCACTCGTAAAATGGGTGACAGTTGCCAGACCAGCGCGGCTGCGAGGCCCCGTGGAGGTGGCGTTTGGAGGATGCGCGCACACACCCACCCTTCTGCCAGCCCCTCTCCCGGCCCCCTGCAGACCAGAGCCTGTGCCACGCACGGAGGTCCGCGAGGGAGCCCCTCCTGCCTCCCCTTGACTTCCCGGAGGCCACAGCGGGACCGGCCCGCGGGACCATTCCGCACTAGGCCGCTGCCCTCGGGCCTCCCGAGAGAGGGCAGAGGGTGGCCCCTGCCAGTCAGGTGCCCTTGGCGACCCTCCCTAGTAGGGATCCCAGCAGCGGCTCCAGGCTCCACATCCTCTTTTGGGGCATCCGGTCTGGGAATTTTGGTCGCTCAAAAAAAGACTTCATTGAAAAACTTCTGGGTGCTCCTGAAACCGAGCCCAGAACACCGGCCCTTCCAAGGCCTGGCGCCCCCGGCCCCACGGTGGGGCCCCGCTCGGCCGCCCGCACCCGCCCAGCCCCAGGGAGCGCGGCCCGCGCGGAACGCCCGCCGGGGGATGAGGGCTCAGAACACTCCTGAGCGGACGCCGAGGACCACAAACCGCACCAGCGCCACGGGCTCCCTCCAAGGACCCGCTTCCAGGGAGACCCGCCGGCCGCAACCCGAGTGCCCGCCCCGTCTAGGGGCCATGGGGCCCGGCGACGCGAGGCTGGGGCGTGAGGAGGGTCCTGACGCCGGCGCCCGCCCCTCGGTCCCGCACCCGGGGGTGCGCCCGCTGCGGGCTGCACACGCGGGGGCCGGCGGGGGCACCCAGGACACTTACCCGGGGCTGGCGGGGCGCGGAGGCTCAGGCGCACCCGCGGGGCAGCGCTCCCGGGACCGGAGCTGTGGCGGCAGCGGCCGGCGCTCGCATCCCGGGGACCGGCGGCGGCTCCTGGGACGGCCCCACCCCGGCACGCGAGCCGCCCCGCCCCGCCCCGCCCCGCAACGCCCTGGCCCGGGAGGCGGCAGGGGGCGCCCGCGGGTCCGGCTGCCTCGGGTCCGGCTGTCCCGGCTGCCCCGGCGAACCCGAGGCGCCATCCGCTTCCCCCGGGGTCCGTCCCGTGTCCTTCGCGTCCCGTGGACCCCGGAGTCTCCGTGCTCCGAGGCGGGGGTCGCGCCCTGCGCCCCTCCCCGAGGTCTCTGCGCGCGCCCCCTCGGGGTCTGTGTGCGCCCCTCTAGGGGTCTGTGCGCGCCCCACTCGGGGTCTGTGTGCGACCCCCTCGGGGTCTGTGCGCGCCCCATTCGGGGTCTGGTGTGCGGTCTGGCCTCCCGGCCGATCCCGACCCTCAGTTCTCCTCGCGCCCGCGTCCCCTTCCAGAGCACCGGTCCCCTCCGCGCGCGCTCTTCCTCCGCCCCAGGCCAGGCAGTGCGGACCCGAACAGGCCAAGTGAGGAGAGTGTGTCCCCGCTCGCCTGCCCTATGGGGTCGTTTGGAAAATGTAAGAGGAGTCATGTTTTTTGCGAATTATATTAATTATATTAAATATTAAGATACTCTTTGATCCTGAACTTCCCAAGAAGGGGTCGTGCGCCAGACACCGCAGGGTCGTCAGTGCGACGTTCGTGGTCCTGGACATTTCAGGGTCCCACGCGGCAGGTGCGCGGCCCAGGGAGCCTCTGCTCCGTCCACCCCGAGAGCGGGGTCCTCCCTGCAGGTCCCCAGGCCTCACCCCGAGCCCTCTGCGCGCCCGCCGGCCCCTCGCCCGCTTTTCCCTGGGCCTGGGGCGCGCCCGCCGGCCCTTCCTACCTCGGGCTGCGCCCTCTTCTTCCCTCTCCCGGCGGTCCTTGGCCCCCTAGTCCTCCATCCCCGCGCGCGGGTCCTGACTGAATTCCCCCTACCCTCAGGGGACCCCCGGACCCCAGCCTGGCCTCGCACCCTGACGTCTCAACAGACCCTGGCCGGCTTCCACCCTTCCGCCTCACTGGGGCCGGCCCGTTCCTCTTTCCCGGCCGCCAGGTGGTCCCTGGAGTCGGCCCCTCTGCACCCACGGTCCTCACCCCAGCCCGGCCAGCGGCGCCCGCTCCCACCGCCACAGTCGGTTTTCAGCAGCGCGGTGCCCCCAGGCTCGCAATCAAACCCCATATCCCTGACGCCCCCAACCCCCCCCCCCACCCCACCTCCGCCTCCTGCGGTTCTTCGAATAAACTGGCTTGCGGGCCCCGGGGCCTTTGCACTCGCTGTCCGCTGTCTGCTGTCGACTCGGGGGAAATCTCTTTCCCAGACACAGCTCCCAAGCTGGGGTGGGCGCAGCTGAGTAGGCCACCCAGCCCCCAGGCGGCCATCGCCCCTCCCCCCGGCTGTAGCTCCCTTCAGGGCAGCCCGGAGCTCCTGCATTCTGCCTGTCCCTCTGTCCCCAGGGGTCACCAGGTCGGCTCTGCTCACCTCTGCTTAGACTCTTGCTCTGTCACCCCGGCTTGAGTGCAGTGGCCCTGTCTCGGTTCACTGCAACCTCCACCTCTAAGGCTCAAGCGATTCTCCTGCCTCAGCCCCCGAGTAGCTGGGATTACAGGCATATCTGGCTAATTTTTTTTTTTTTTTTAAGTAGAGACATGGTTTTGCCATCTTGGTCAGGCTGGTCTCAAACTCCTGATCCACCCGCCTGGCCTCTCAAAGTGTTAGGATTACAGGCATGAGCCTTGTGCCACTCGCAGCGGGAGCCCTGGGTGCACACATACTAAATTTTAATGTGGGACAATGTGTGACTATGTTGCTATATCTTTAAAAATCATTAGTTGTATTTTGATCCAATTTTTGTAAAGTGAATTATGCACAGAAAATACGCGGTTGGATAACTCTGAGGTTACGGGTGAACTTTAATTTCTTTCTAGTTTTTAAAAAGTCCACAATGCCTGTAAGTTTCTGCAAGAAGCACGTAGTACCTTTGTGATCTACTAAAACAAGTACCAGTGGGTAGGATGTGACAATGGTGGGCACTTGCACGACACAGGCGAGGTGTCTGCCAGGCTGAGGCCAGGCCAAGGCTGGGCCTGTCGGGAGACCTCACACTGGGAACATGGGTGGGCAGAGCTGGGTGGTGGCCCTGAGAACCTGGGCTGTGCAGACGCTCCCTGAACTCTTAGAACTTTCTAGGAAGAGCCACACTCTCCCTGCACAGGAAGACAGACCCCCCATGTCTCAGCGCAAGCACAGGTTCCCTTCTGCCTGCCCAGTCCCACCAAAACCAACCGGAATGAGACATTCCATTACTCTGTTTCCTGGGAATAGAAGGAAGCGCCTCCTCCTTCCCTCTTACTGCCTGCTATTGGCGCAGGCAGACCACACCCATCCGTCCGGTGCTTGTCCCCAAAGTCTCAGGTCTCTGCAGAACCTTAGGCAGCCAGCGGCACTGGGAAGAAGGTGGGAGGCATTGCCAGGCCTGGCAGGCCGAGCCCCACATGGTGTCCTGGAGTCTTTGGGCACCCCACCAGCACGATGGGGGATCCCTCAGCTGCCTCCCATCTAGACCGGCTGTCGCACGTGCCTGCCTACCCACCATGAAGGTCCAGATGCAGCCGACACCCCTACCCACAGGGTCTCCTCTGCCTCTGTGCCAGGGACCCTGTTCAGGAGGCCTCTTCCCTCCAGTCAGGACTCACCGTCCCCACCATCACTGAGCCCTCTGGCTCCCATCCACACTCCCAGCAGCTGGAGACACACCCCTTTCTCCTGGACCACCAGTCCTCCCAGGACTCTGAACTGGAGGGGCTGACACCCAGCAGGGGTGACAGCTGGCGGGGGGAACTGGAAGCCCCCAAGGAGCCACCCCCAGCCCTGGGCACATCCACACAGGAATCATGGGTGCACAGGGCCCCAGAGCCATATGAGCTGGATTCAGCCCCCAGCAGATGGATGGCCACACAGCAGGTGCTCACAGCCAGCTGCAGCGCCAGTCCCCTCCCAAACAGGCCCACGTTGGCGTCCCAGAAGTGTGGGGACAAATCTACTCTTCATGGGCCTCCAGTAGTGGTGACCTCAACTGACCCCTCCTGTCCTCTCCTGGTCACACCTTTGTCTCCCCCAGGGAGGCCAGGCCAGGAGCCACCAGGGCCCTGACCTCAGAGGCAGACAGGGGTGTGCCGACCCCTGGGGCCGGGCCAGGACCCAGCACAGGCGCCCGCTGCTCTGAAAATGGCTGGGTTTCCTGGGTTCCCTGTGACAGGTGTGGTGCCCGGTGTTGATGCCCTGCAGGCAGCTGCTTGGGCAGCCCTGGTCATGGCTGGGTTCCCTCTCCCACACCACTTTCTCCTGGAGGACAGAGAAGGATCTGGGGAATTTCGTCTTTTGTCAAAAGCCACCAGGTATCTCCCTGCCCGGCAGAGTCAGTCAAGGCTTCTGTTTCCAGGTGCATTCTGTCATTCCAGGTTCACTGTGCTGGAGTCAGCTGTGCCTGCAGCAGGGTGAGGGAGGGAGGTGCAAGGGGAAGGGGGGGGGAGGGGGGAGGGGGAGAGGGAAGTGAAGTATGGGGGAGGTGCAGGCTTGTGGGGAGGCACAGGGTGAGGGGGAGATGCGGGGGGAGGGGGAGGGGGATGCACGGGATGAGGGGTAGGTACAGGTGAGGGGAGGTGCAGGGTGAGGCTGGAGGTGCACGGTTGTTGCGGGAGGTGCAGGGTGGGGATGGTGGGGAGGCACAGGCCAGGGGCCTGATGGAAGGAGGGCCGTGGGAGGAAGGAGGGTGGCCAGCATGCCCCTGTGCCTCTGATCTGCGGTGATGACAGTGAGGACCTGGGGTCCCTGCCTGCAGATCTACAGGGTCCAGCAGCTGGGGCTCCAGGGGCTGTCCCCAAACCCTGCCCTCAGAAGGCCCTGGACAGAGGCCCCAGGGCGGGCAGAAGCCACCCAGTGGCTGCCTGTTCTGGGAGGCCCTGGTGTGGTCAGGCAGGTGCAATTGTGTCACAGCTACGCGGCGTCTGGGAGGGGCAGAGCAGAAAGTGAACCGGGCTGCATGGCCAGGACACTTGAGTTGGTGAAATTCAGCTTGGGGATGGTAGGTGGGTGGGCAGAGGGTGTGGATGGGACAGGCCCTGGAGGCCGGGGACACAGCGGGGGTTCTCAGGCCCCTTCCCTGTTGATTCTCTGCTGCCCTCCCCAGGCATCTGATTCCTCCAAGATCTAGAAACCAACGCTCCATCCACCACTGGCCCGAGGAGGCAGCACCATCAGGAAGAGCAAACCAGCCACAGTGGAGGCTCCAGGACGGGCACACCGCGGGACCCTCATGCAGAGTCCAAGGCTGTGCGGTCAGAGGTCAGAGATTAGAGTTGGGGAGATGAGGTGAGTCAAAGGCTGTGGTGGAGTAGGCGGTGGGGTCAGAGGTCCTGGGTTCTGCAGTGGGCAAAGTCTTCAAGACGTGGCTGGGAGAGCTGCAGGGTGGCAGCAGCAGCTGCCCTCACCCCAAGCATGGGGACCTCATGGGCCTGAGGCTGAAGGAGGAGCGAGGGCTGCTCCCAAGGTGGGGTGGGTGCAGCTCCTGGACACTGAGTCCAGGTCCCGTGAGGCGAGGGAGAAGTCACTGGGCGCCCGGCCGTGGAGGCCTGAGTGAGGAAGGCCTCATGGAATCGGGAACTTGGGGCCTAGGCAAGGGAGTTGACCTCACTGGAGGGGAGCTTGGGGTCACCTGCTGCTGAGTCATGGGGCTGTCATGGCCTAGGGAGGCACCCAGTGTGAATGGCAGGGAATCCTCAGAGACTAGCCTGGGATCCCCATGACTGAGGTCACGAGGTCAGTCCCAGCCCCACACACCTTGGGCCTGACCCTGCCATACCCAAGCCTCCTGCCCAGTGATGTTCTGATCCACTAACCACGGTTTCCAGCAGACCTGGCCCCACCCCGCTCTGCCCCTGGCTTCTGTGTCCACCCTGGGCTTACAGGTGCTGCTTCCTGTGCCTGGAGAGCCCTCCTGGTCGTGGCCTGTCCTCCCTCCCTGCAGCAGAGACCCCCGAGCCTGCATGGCCTCCACCCAGCTGCTCCCCACCCCATGCCGCGGCTTCGGCCCACCTTGCTCCTGACTATGCCCCGAAGCCCAGCACAGCACAAGTGGGTGCAGCGGGTGGAGAGCTGGGAGTGGTGAGGGAGGGGCCCCCAGTCGTGGCTGTGCCCCCGTGTCCTGCTGTCCTGGGTCTTGGGGCCAGGGTTTGAGCTACTGGCTGAGGGTCCCCGGTGGGTGGTCATGGCCGCTGGCCTGGCCTCCCCAACTCAGCCTCAGCATGCTGAGCCTGTGCCAGGTACCTGGTCAGTGTCCACCCCCTCCACTCCCAAAGGAACACGGGGCACAGCCTGTGGGCAGAACACCTGACAAAGGAGCGCTGAAAGGGAAAAGGCCCCTCTCTCTGTGATCTTCCGATCTTCCGTCTTCTCTCTAAATCCCATGGTTCTGTCTGGCAGGTCCTACCGTCAGCAGCTCCCAGGAGCTCCATGGTGCAGCCACACTGCCCCCACCTGGCCCAGGCTGTGCACAGCCGACTGGCCCTTGGGGCACCACAGAGCTGGCTGGGGTTTGGCTCAGGCTTTATGGGCGGCTCCTTGCAGGCTCCTGAGGATGGGGTCTGTGCTGGCATCATAGTTGGGTGGGGAGCACAGCAGCCCTGCTTCTCTGCGGGTTGGCAGCCCCTCCCCAGAGAATCTTCCAATTCGTGAGCCCACTGCCCTCCAGGGACCCCCAGTTTTGTATCAGTGACACCCGGCAGGACAGCAGGGGAGACTCCACCCCATAGCTCCGGCTGCAAGTGTCTCCTCACTGCCTCCCCTTCACTCCTGGTGGCTGGGAGCTCCCAGGCAAATGTCCCTCCCAACGGCCACAGCCCACCAGCCCAATAGGCTCTCCACACCCAGGGTTCCTTCACCAGCAGGCTGGCCTGATGTGCACTTGTTCAGCACCCTAGCCCTGCTGTCCTCCCAGTGTGCAGGGCAGCAGCTCCACCGCCCTCCCCACTTTCTGCTAAAGAACTTCTGCTCTGGGCCAGGCACGGTGGCTCAAGCCTGTAATCCCAGCACTTTGGGAGGCCGAGGCAGGTGGATCACGAGGTCAAGAGATCGAGACCATCCTGGTCAACATGGTGAAACTCCATCTCTACTAAAAATACAAAAAATTAGCTGGGCATGGTGGCGCGTGCCTGTAATCCCAGCTACTCAGGAGGCTGAGGCAGGAGAATTGCCTGAACCCAGGAGGCAGAGGTTGCGGTGACCCGAGATCGTGCCATTGCACTCCAGCCTGGGTAACCCACCAGAGCGAAACTCCCGTCTCAAAAAAAAAAAAAGAACTTCTGCTCTGAAATTTTCAGTGGGTTTTGATCTTGTGACTCTTCATGGGGGCCCCTCTCCAAGGCAGCCTCCCCAAGGCTGCCTGCAGAACAGGGGCACCCCTGGCAGCCATGTGCAGAGTACCTGAGGGTACCTGTACCTCACACCAAGTGTACCACACACTTGTGCATCTGCACCACACACCCAGGTACCTGACACCTGTGCATCTGCACATTTGTATACCTGTACACACTTCTGGATCTACCCACCTGAGCAGACCACACACCTGTGTACCTGTATCACAAACCTGTGCATCTGCCCCACACACCTGTCTTCTGTACCACACACCTGTGCACCTGTATCACACACCCAGGTACCTCACACCTGTGCACCTGTATCACAAACCTGTGCATCTGCCCCACACACCTGTCTTCTGTACCACGCCTGTGCACCTGCACACCTATCTTCTGCACCACACACCCGTGCATCTGCACCACACCCAGGTACTTCACACCTGTGCATCTGCACATTTGTGTACCTGTAGCTCACACCACTGCATCTACTACACCCGAGCAGACCACACACCTGTGCACCTGTATCACAAACCTGTCTTCTGTACCACACACCTGCACAATACACCTGTCTTCTGTACCACAGGGGCACCCCTGGCAGCCATGTGCAGAGTACCTGAGGGTACCTGTACCTCACACCAAGTGTACCACACACTTGTGCATCTGCACCACACACCCAAGTACTTCACACCTGTGCATCTGCACACTTGTTGTACCTGTGGCTCACACCACTGCATCTACACCTGAGCAGACCACACACCTGTGCACCTGTATCACAAACCTGTGCATCTGCCCTACACCTGTCTCCTGTACCACACACCTGTGCACCTGTATCACAAACCTGTCTTCTGTAGCACACACCTGTGCACCTGCACCACACACCTGTTATCTTCTGTAGCACACACCTGTGAGGTGCTGAGAAACACACACTTTATCTCCCATCAGAAGAACATCTTGGTGCTGTGAAAAGGAAGACAGAAAACTTCATCCACAATCTGACCTTTTCTCTCTAAGTCTCCATCTCACTTGGCCTTCACCTGCTTTCTAGGAATTTGGAGCTAACTGCATACATACAAAATTCCTTCCCCAGCAGCTGATACACAGGGTAAGCCTCAGCATCAACTACTGGCCCATATCCTCCATGGAGGACAAACCTTGGTCATGTGCCTGGGGGCAGGTGTTTCATGGAGGCTGACAGCTCCTCCAGGGTCACAGGCTTCCCCACCCAGCCATGCTGCCAGCACAAGTAGGAATGCAGGGGCCAGAGAGGCTGCAGGTGTGGGGCTCGGGGCTGCCCCCTGCACAGGCAGATGGCACGGGCAAGGGCCTGGAGACGTGGCTGGGAGGGCTGCAAGGTGGCAGCAGCAGCTGCCCTCACCACAAACATGGGGACCTCATGGGCCTGAGGCTGAAGGAGGAGCGAGGGCTGCTCCCAAGATGGGGTGGGTGCAGCTCCTGGACACTGAGTCCAGGTCCCATGAGGTGAGGGAGAAGTCACTGGGTGCCCCGCCGTGGAGGCCTGGGTGAGGAAGGCCTCATGGAATCAGTAGCTTGGGGCCTGGGAAAGGGAGTTGACCTCACTGGAGTGGAGCTTGGGGTCACCTGCTGCTGAGTCATGGGGCTGTCATGGCCTAGGGAGACACCCAGTGTGAATGGCAGGGAATCATCAGAGACCAGCCTGGGATCCCCATGACTGAGGTCATGAGGTCAGTCCTAGCCCCACACACCTTGGGTCTGATCCTGCCACACCCAGGCCTCCTGCCCAGTGATGTTCTGATCCACTAACCATGGGCACCACTGATGAGAAACTCAGTGCCAGCCCCGCTGTGGCCGCCACAGGCCCCCAACAGACCCCCAATTTCTTATCAGCGACACCCACCAGAACCCAAATCTGAAATCTGAATACCCCGCCCACTTCTCCAAGGAAAGCTCTGGCTTCAGCAGGTCCTCAGGGAGGCCCATGTACCAGTGTGAGGGGTGGGGGTTGCAAGGGGATGAGGTGAGCAAGGCTGCAGGTGCTGCTGGGGGACACACACACCAGCCAGGACCGCAGGACCAACATATACAGCCACAGGCAGCACAGACAGCTGTGGGCACAGATCTCCCGCAGCCTGGCAGTTGGCTCGACCAGCAGAGTGGCCAACATGGAGCAGACAAGGGGACCACACAGGGCCTGGGCACCTGAGAAGGGGCCAGCACAGGCTGCCGGTGTGGCCAGAGGGAGCAGCCAGACTCCCAAGCCCATGTCCCTCCTCCTCCCCCCATCCCCGGGGAGCCAGGAGTGCCTGCTCCAGAGGGATCTGTAGCCAGAGGGCCCCAGGACAAGCGCAGGTGGGTGGTGGGGAGGGAGGGGGTCCCACCTGGAGTGCGAATACAGCCCCAGCCCCCCAGCACGCCTGTCCAGTGTTAAGAAATGGGGATATTTTCCAGGAAACCACGCCCCCTACCTGTCACCCCGAACATGCTGAGCAGGGGTTTGAACAGGTAGAAGATCCTGAGACATCAAAACAGAAAAGCTGTGCAGGCCAGCATGGGAGGAGCAGCGTCAAGGCAGAGACGAGGCTGCAGCCCTGACACCAGGCTGTGTAAGGAGGGCAGCGTCCAGAGAACGGGGTGGGGCCCGGGAGCGTGAACCCAGGAGGGCCCAGCACTGAGCAGGGAGGGCTGAGGCGAGCAGGGGACGCGCTGGCTGGCCACGTGCGAAGACTGTGGCTGACGCAGGGCAGAGCGTGACTAAATCATTCATGATGGAAATACATGACCTGCTAAACCAAATTAGACTTCTTCGTCCAAATGGAGCAGTTTTATGAAATGTAACCACCTCAACCGATGGTGGGACAATCCCTCTGGATTTTCACAAGCAGAGCTGTGCACGCTGGGCTGAAGAACGTTCCAGAAGGTGTCCAGGACCTTGGGAGGTCCCAAGTGAGCCAGCACATCTGACAGTGACCGTCTGGATGACCAGGCCGTGGGGCTTGGTTCTGACACCCGTTTGATTTGAGCTGAAGGCGGACCACGCGTCTAACATCCCTTTATTGTGTACATTGCATATTCCAATGACTACAATAAACTCTTTTTAAAAAGTAAGGCACATGAACAGCCTTCTGTGTGCAGGTTCTGTGCGACTTTAAAATTCCTACTGACTAATAAAAGCATTTCCACTATAGACCAGAGATATCTAGAAAGCTCATGACAGACTTTGCAAGCAGAATGCCTGAAACATTACTGCAGTTACCTCATGGCACAATGAGACAGTCACCAAACCCAAGGCTTGTGTTATAATGATACAGCTCCTGTTAGGGTTGCAGACGCATTAACCAGCGTATCCACATATGTACAGCCCGGTCCCCACGTGGTCAAATCTAAAGGAAGAACACCATCTCACTGCATCCGCGTTCCATTCCCTCACAGGTAGGAACTTGGGCTTTTTGGCTCTTTTTTCCATACGTCGGTCCCGCTGCTCTTCATGAGGCCAGGGTCATACGATACTGAAGACCATGGACAGATACTGTTCGTAGGACACCTGAATCCAGCCGTCCTGATCCGTGTCGTAACGTCTGAATATATCCGTCAACCTCTGGGGAAAAAGCAGGCATTTAAATCTCGACAGATGTGGGAACAAGGTGCACTGGGAGGAAGACATTAGGGGCCCAACTTCAGGAGCACACATGCCATCTCCTGATGGAGCCAGCACAGGGAGATACAGGTGAGGCAACAGAAAACGTGTCCATTTTCTCAGAATAAAAATTTTTGCAAAAATCGCCATAGTTGGCCAGACACGGTGGCTCACACCTGCAATCCCCACACTTTGGGAGGCTGAGGCGGGCAGATCACCTGAGCTCAGGAGTTCAAGATCAGCCTGGCCAACATGGCGAAACCCCATCTCTACTTAAAAAAAAAACACACACAAAAATCTGCCAGGTATTGTGGTGCACTCCTGTAATCCTGGCTACTGGGGAGGCTGAGGCAGAATCACTTGAATCCAGGAGGCGGAGGTTGCAGAGATTATACCACTGTACTCCAGCCTGTGTGACAGAGTGAGACTCCATCTCAAAAAAAAAAAAAAATACACCAGGACATAAGTGTAAATAACCCACCAGATACCACCTAAATGGCGTCTTCCAGATGGGCTGCTCTATGCCATTTCCAAGGGAAGGAAAACATGCCTGTCCACACTTCACTAACCAGCTACTTCTCCAAAGATGAGACTAACTTTTATAAGCTCCAAAACCTAATTCGACATACGCCTGATTCCTTAGATCAATGGTCAGGCGCACCTCGTGGGTGGGCAACCCCTTCCCGCCCCCACAGCAAACCCACGAGAAGCCACTGGTCACCTGCAGGACGATGCAGCCCTGGATGAAGTCGTCGAAGGCGATCTGCCCCCGTCCCTGCCTGTCAAACTTGCGAATGAGGATGTCGTGGAACTGGTCAGAGAGCCGGTAGCCTTGAGGAGGGAAAGGCGGGGTCAGGGAGGGCTGGGAGAGACTCAAGGTGTGTGCCAACGCCCACAGCCTCCCTCCCAAGGCCCACAGCCTCTAACACACAGTGCAGGGCTGGGTGGGAACAGAAGTGCAAATTCACTCAAAGGCACTCAGAACTGAGACACTTCCCGAATACATGGTTCTGTAATGAGCTTCTGTCTCCAGTGCATGAAGTCACCCCTTGAGATCATCACCCTGGAAGGAGGAATGCCTGGGAAGCTGCCATTGTCCTGAAAGCTGGTGTGAAGTCACTCGTGAAGTAACCACTCATTCCAGGGAAGCACTCAAAAAACACCCCCCACGGGGCGCCACGCTCAGTTTCGTGAACCCAGTGAGTTACTTTCTAAAGTCCTTGTTGATCTTATTATGTTTATTAGATAAGAAAATTCTGGATGATTCACTGCCCTGGGTTGCTCATCACCAGACAATGCTTTGAAACTAAAATTTCACAGGCGGCTTCTAGTTACACCAAGTGTCAATGTAGGAAAATGGGAGTAGCTGAGGGACGCGTTCCTCTACCATGAGGGACTGAAGAGCACAGAGGCAGAGCGGCCACAGAAAGGACCAAGTCACTGAAGGGCCACCAAGGGCTAGGATTCCAATATCCACAGGGCCACTGCCTGTCTGGGTGCTCCCTGAGCGTGTCCTGAAAAGGCCTCCCAAGGCAGACGGCTCTGAAGGCGTGTGGACGCACCAGGTGTCCTCAGCCACCCCGGAGGGCATGCCCCGCCTGCCCCCTTCCCTCGAATCCCACTACCTGCATGACTGTGGCATCCTTACTGACTCCGGAGGCAACAAGCAGGTGCCAGTATGTTTTTACTAGTGTTCAGCCTCGCCAGAATCTCTGCAGGGACGTGTGCACCTGCACCGACTGTCTAAATCTCACAGGTGATCGCCTCCACAACAGCCATTCCACCGACAAGAGTCAAGCACACAAACAGGAACACAGTGCCTTCCAGAGTGGTCAGGGCGTTCTGTCATTTAAGTTCAGGGGTCCCTAAATGTGTGACGGTGGAGCTGCTTCAGACCCTCCTTCCCTGCAAGCTGAGAAGACAGGCCCTCCCATTAAATTCAGAAAGAGACAGCAGAGTTGTGAACAGCTGCCACTTCCCCTGGTCCCCACTACTCCTACCTCCTCACTCCCCCCACACCCGTGCTGGGGCTAGGATCACTTGCTGAGAACAGAGCCTGGGACACAGGCAAAGGGACATTGCCTGTCTGTGTGTGCACGGGGGACAGAGGCCATCACTGCGGTGCACAGGGGACAGAGGCCATCACTGGGGTGCACGGGGGACAGAGGCCATCACTGGGGTGCACGGGGGACAGAGGCCATCACTGGGGTGCACGGGGGACAGAGGCCATCACTGGCCTCTGCAAACACTGGGGAAGGACAGAGGCACAGGATTTCCCGTCAGCACAGACAACGAGAGCAACTCCACTGCCTCTGGAATTAACTCCCAGTTTCCTCGGTCATCGGCGATAGTGAAGGGAAAACAAAGAAAGTCAAACTAGTAAAATGCGGGATGCACAAGGAACTACAAAAGGAACGTTCATCTGAGAGGCCAAAACCACCATCGCTGCTCTCTGCGAGCTCCTGTTAATGAAAGCCGGCATGTGAGAGCACCAGCGCCCTTGGACCCGCCGCTCTCTAAGATCATTCTCCTCTTTTGGACTCCCTTGAAATGTTGTGAACGAGCCAAGCAGAGCCCTGACTTCCTCAGAAATAATCTATTCCACCTTCAAGGAAAACCAAGCTGTCCCCACCCAACAGGACCAGGCTCCTGGGGGCTCTCCCAGCTCTTGGGGGCCTGGGACACTGCAAAGGAACAAGGCTCCAGACCAGATGGACTCCACTCCCCTCTCTGGGAAGTGTGGACCCTCCCTCAGCCTGCGCAGAGTCAGAGTGAGGCAGTGTGGAGATGCTCCCGACCCCAGCCCTTCCCTGTGCCTGTCAAGCTCTGTGCTCCAGTTCCTGGGTGATGACAGCATCAGCCAGTGGGGACGGGAAGGCTTCTCCCAGGGCTGAAATTCCAGGAAGCGGGCAGTCCTATGGACAGAGCAAAGCCCTTCTCTAAGAACTAACAAGCACGAGGGATGACACCGCCAGAAAATTTCTCTGCCAGCATTTCTGGGTCCGGCCACTGGGCCTTGCTTGGGGCCTAACTCAGGCAAAACGATGGAAAAAGCAGTGTCAAGGCTGTAAGAGGAATTAATGGCACTGACTTCATAAGCAAATGTCCATGTGCTCGAGACACAGCAAACGCCGGGATTACCGCACAGGCCTTGCATGTGCCGAGAATGCTTTAGAAAGCGGGAAAAGCACACACAGCAAAAAGGTAAGTAACAGCTGAAAAGGAATGACGAGTGACTGGAGGCTCCTTCCACTCCAGTACATCTTTCATTATAAAAAAATAAACTGGCGGTGGCTTCCAGAGGCTGGGGGAGGAAGGGGAGACCTAGAGGGAACGGAGGAGATGGTGGGGTGGTGGAACTGTTCTCTGCTGACGGCCTCTCTCAGACAGGCACTGCACTGAGGGAAGAATCTCACCAGATGTGTACGGCAACCTCAACGGCACCTGCTGAGTCAGCAGGTCTCGCAGCAGGTCTTGAACATGGGGACGCCTCCCGCACCTTTTCATTCCAGGTCCCTGAGCCTGGCACAGAGGTGATGTTAACAATTAAAAACACGGATGGCTGGGTTATAAAACCCACCACGTGGCCTCATCAGACACCCAGGGGATGTCTCGTAGCCTCCACCACCCGGGTGATTCCCTCATGCGGGCCACTGAGCTCAAATGCAGCCTCCCTGCTTTATCTGAGAGCAAAACACTTACTCCTAAGGGCCAAGACAAGAGAATTTTTGCTTCTGAGGCCCACTTCCTAACAGTTACTACGGGAAATCTTTCAAAATAATCAAAATTCAAAAAGGATGGCAATGCCCCTTTCCACAGATGTGGGAGGAAAACTATTAGGGTAACTGGAGAAACGCTGCAATGGGCACCCACACCCCAGGAGCAGCTCAGAATTCGGGAAGGTTCTGCCGCCCAACGCACGCAGGACTGCCGGCTCCAGGGCACAAGGAGGGTGGCGTGATTGGCTGGGCCTCCAGCCACAGCTCAGCACAGTTTTCTGGGAAGTCCCTGGCCAGGATGAAGAGGGCTCAGAGACCTGATGGTCACCGGTACTAGGCAAAGGGAGCTCCGGGGCCTGACACGGTTAGGAAAGGAACATGTTCGTGGCACTAGAGGTCTCTTGTCTAAAAGTAACTCCAGGCTGGTCCTGAAGCCCATGTGGCCCTGGCCGCACTCGGCACACTGGCCTCCCTGACCCCTGGGACCGCTCTCTGTGGAGGGGGACCCCTCCATGCCTACCCCAGGGAAGAGGAGCTGGCCAGGGTTCCACCAGTTCCCCACCCAAGGTCACCGCAAGGTCAGCTACATTCCAAGTGCCAATTCAGAGCCATCCCGCCCAAACCCTGGCCCGCAGCTGGCCAGCTCAGAACAGCTTCTTGTGGAGACCCAGTGTCCACAGCTGGCCCTGTGGATGAGCTTGTAAGGTGAGAAAGAAAAGAGAGAGAGAAGACAGCCGTAAAGTGTGTGCTGG